TTCCAAATCGTGCATGTACTTCACGGTTTCCGGTTCCGATATATCGCATTCGCCAAAATCCAGTAACGAGAGGCCTGCAGTAATATTCAAATGCGATCGGAATCGTAGCATACCATTCCACGTGGCTCCGATATATTCTACGTTATCCAGATTGTCAATTACCTACCAAAATACGAAACAGTCCCCGGAATTGTTTCTGGAATCTATCATCATTCAGTCGAAATCGAAGAATAAATCGTGCAATAAATAATAAAATTAGTTGAAAATCGCGGTTGCGTTCGCGAGAGAAGTCGAGTTGTACAGCGACGAGACGTTGGAGAGTCTGATTAGTTATGGTATAATCTCCTATAAGCCCTGGCAAGGTGGATCTATAGAAAGTAGATTATGCTATACATAGTCAGACTCGGCCAACTTCTCATCTCCAACCAGAAATCAAAATTTTCAAAGATAAACAAATAAATTTAAGTTCCTTAATTTTTTCTTGTAAATTTTAAGGAACGATTTTCAAATCTACGAACGTGAAACGTTGTTTCATATTTAGGTTTGATAAATATGGAAGGTACCAGTATAGAAACCTCACAAATCTTCTGACTAATTCTTCCAACGTTAGACTAGAACTTTGCTTCACTATTGTTCTTAGCAGACCCTAATTAATCTTCCAGACACGTTCTGGCCTCGACTCACACTTAAAACGATGACTCTGCAACGATTTTTTCCCAATTTTCGACTTATTTGAAAGTGCAAACGCTTCTAGGAAAGTGAACATTTAATTTGGAAACTAATTATTAATGGGTTTCAGAATTTTCTCAGGGATATTAACGGTCACGATAGGGAACTTTAAATATTTCATGGTTCTTGTCTCTCGAAAATTTTGTTCGTTTTTTGCAAACTTTGGCCATATCAGCTGCTACCCGGGAGCGCAGAAGTTACCCGGCGAAAATAAACGAGGACGCATAATTTTCATTTTAAGACAAATTACGAAGTTTTCTGTGCGTGATGCTATCGCGAAAGTTGTTAAACGATTTAGACGGACCGTTGAGAGTTTAATATGCCCTGAAATCGATGGATAATTGTGAGCCCGTGAGAACGCCTACTTTATTTCAAACTACCTATATGGTGTCTCGATAACGAACGCCGTGAATTATGAAATATTCATGCCGGGTCAAATTGACGGGGCAACTATGTCGAAATCGTTTTACGATACTTCGTTGTCAATTCGGTCGTATAAAAGTCCACGAATTGGGCGATTGAAAAGTTCGATGATCGCTAAATTTATTCATATATGTGGTAAAAAAGTTTCGACGAACGAAGAGGAATTGATAATTAGTGGAACGATTACTTTCAGGTTAAAATCATTAAAACGATAGAGTATGAAAACAAATTTCGACAGAAATGGAATCGAATTTTAGGGCAATGGCCACGCGACGCGGACTGAAATTGAAACAAAAGTCGCGGGCCGAATTTCCCGGTTAAGTCGCGCGAAAATGAAACGACCAAATCGATTTTTCTCGTAATTAGTATTAATCGTGAGACGAAGGTGCGAATCCCACGGGGACAGTTCATCGAATGATACGCTGAAATGCACTTTGTGTACTTCGAAACTCGATAGCCTCTGTTTGCAATCGGAATTAATTTTCTCCGTTCATTTGCCCGACCTGATTCGACAGTAATTTATTTATTACCAGTAACAGGATCGTGGAACGATCGCGTCGCACTCCCAAGTAAAAAATTACGCCGCTTTCCTCGACGAACATCCATTGTTCTGTCGTTGTTACTCGTTATAGAGTATCATACGCAAAACGTGTGTCCATTTTTTGTTTGTTTTTATGTAAACAACCTATATCGACGTACAGTGAATCGTTTCCACGGTTAATTCGATCCTTTCGCGATGTATTGCATGGACAGAGAAAAATCGGTCGGACTGATTTTTTGTTCGCTGTACAATACATCGAAAATTAAGTCCAACTTGTTTAAGAAAATACAATAGAAATACATTGTTCTGTCGTTGTTACTCGTTATACAGTAACATACGCAAAAAACGTGTGTCCATTTTTTGTTTGTTTTTATGTAAACAACCTATATCGACGTACAGTGAATCTTTTCCACGGTTAATTCGATCCTTTCGCGATGTATTGCATGGACAGAGAAAAATCGGTCGAGCTGATTTTTAGTTCGTTGTACAATACATCGAAAATTAAGTCCAACTTGTTTAAGAAAATCAAATAGAAATACATTGTTCTGTCGTTGTTACTCGTTATACAGTAACATACGCAAAAAACGTGTGTCCATTTTTTGTTTGTTTTTATGTAAACAACCTATATCGACGTACAATGAATCTTTTCCACGGTTAATTCGATCCTTTCGCGATGTATTGCATGGACAGAGAAAAATCGGTCGAGCTGATTTTTAGTTCGTTGTACAATACATCGAAAATTAAGTCCAACTTGTTTAAGAAAATCAAATAGAAATACATTGTTCTGTCGTTGTTGCTCGTTATAGAGTATCATACGCAAAACGAGTGCCCATTTTTGTTTGTTTTTATGTAAACAGCCTATATCGACGTACAGTGAATCTTTTCCACGGTTAATTCGATCCTTTCGCGATGTATTGCATGGACAGAGAAAAATCGGTCGGACTGATTTTTTGTTCGCTGTACAATTCATCGAAAATTAAGTCCAACTTGTTTAAGAAAATCAAATAGAAATACATTGTTCTGTCGTTGTTACTCGTTATACAGTAACATACGCAAAAAACGTGTGTCCATTTTTTGTTTGTTTTTATGTAAACAACCTATATCGACGTACAATGAATCTTTTCCACGGTTAATTCGATCCTTTCGCGATGTATTGCATGGACAGAGAAAAATCGGTCGGACTGATTTTTTGTTCGCTGTACAATACATCGAAAATTAAGTCCAACTTGTTTAAGAAAATACAATAGAAATACATTGTTCTGTCGTTGTTGCTCGTTATACGGTATCATACGCAAAACGTGTGTCCATTTTTTGTTTGTTTTTATGTAAACAGCCTATATCGACGTACAGTGAATCTTTTCCACGGTTAATTCGATCCTTTCGCGATGTATTGCATGGACAGAGAAAAATCGGTCGGACTGATTTTTTGTTCGCTGTACAATACATCGAAAATTAAGTCCAACTTGTTTAAGAAAATCAAATAGAAATACATTGTTCTGTCGTTGTTACTCGTTATACAGTAACATACGCAAAAAACGTGTGTCCATTTTTTGTTTGTTTTTATGTAAACAACCTATATCGACGTACAATGAATCTTTTCCACGGTTAATTCGATCCTTTCGCGATGTATTGCATGGACAGAGAAAAATCGGTCGGACTGATTTTTTGTTCGCTGTACAATACATCGAAAATTGAGTCCAACTTGTTTAAGAAAATAAAATAGAAATATATAGACGTGGAATATGTAAAAAACCATAAATCGAGGACTCACTGTACTTCGTGTTAGAACCATCACGAGGATTAAAGAAATTTTTGATCGTTGTGTTCTGTGGACATTTTATTACTTATTTCGATCGTGATTATATCGAATGCAAATGAATCTACGTAAATGATGTACAGTGAATCTTTTCCACGGTTAATTCGACCTTTTCGCGATGTATTGCATGGACAGAGAAAAATCGGTCGAGCTGATTTTTAGTTCGTTGTACAATACATCGAAAATGAAGTCCACCTCGTTTAAGAAAATAAAATAGAAATATATAGACGTGGAATATGTAAAAGACCATAAATCGAGGACTCACTGTACTTCGTGTTAGAACCACCACGAGGATTAAAGAAATTTTTGATCGTTGTGTTCTGTGGACATTTTATTACTTATTTCGATCGTGATTATACCGAATGCAAATGACCTGGTGCCACTACGACCTCACATTTTGCAAACTAAAATTCTTGCAACTTCTTCTTGCAAGATAAAGTTCGAATATTTCATTCACGATTTTATTGCTTCTGTCTATTTTGATTACGAATTTTATTGAATATAAAGGGCTTGAATGTGAGGGCGGAGGGTAAATAATGCCTGTGATGTTGACGCTGGTTTCGGGGCAGTTCTGTGTTAATGAAATTTTTATTAATGGAAGAAGATGGTTCGTCCACGAAGAGTAAACAACGGTGGAATATAAAATATACGATATTTTCGTGGCAGAGTAGCTAAATAAACGATATCTTCGATATTTAATTAAGAAAAACAAGCGAGACGAGTTCTAAAATATTATAGAATAATTCAACTTGTCGCTTAATCAGAAATAGATTTAGATTTTTCGATGCTGTGCCAAAGAATGCTATAGTTATCGAAGGAGTCAGCATGATATCGCTCACCGGGGAACCCAAGCGTTACGTGATAGTCGTAACAAATCTGCCACGTGACGTAGATCGAGACCACGATTGTCCCTTCGACTCTTTCTCGTTACAAGACGCATGGAAAAGAAAGTTGCCGATTCTGGTCGTGGTCGATCGCTTCGAAGCCAGCGAATAGAATTAGTCGTAGCTAAAGTCACTGGATACATAAAGTACCGTCTTCGATCGAGCCAATGCTCCACGTTTGGTAACTTAAAACAGTGTTTACACCCTATTTATCTTAATATCTAGACAAGAACGTTGTCCATTTGTTAGATCATTATACAAATATACCGTACGTATTGTTTCACGAAAAACTATATACCCATAACGTCAATATTAGCTTCGACGAGTTGGGACGTTTGAATAGCGCGCGCTTGGAGGGCAAGATGGCGGGCGATTGGACGGTACTCGATGCGTCCCAGCGGCTTCAGTCGTAGACGAAATTGTGAATGACGTCTTTGTTCCACACGTGGAGGCTCACGTTACGCTTTGCACGCGCTTTATCTGTCCCGAGGAAAGCACAAACAATAAAAAAAAAATTAAAGCACCCTCGAGAGAGCGAGAGATTTTCGCAGGTACAAATTAACGATCGTTGTTGCATCCCCCTCCCCCCCCCGACCCGCTCTTCTAGCATCGGGACACGCAGGAAACGCTGACAGTCCTCGACAGGTTGGACCTCGATACCGAGAAGCCCACCGACGAGGAACTGGCGAGGAAGTTCGGTTTCGAGGAGGCGTATTACGACGGCACGCTGACGTGGTGGCAGAAGCTCAAGCCCCAGATGTGGTCGCTGTTCGATGAACCCTACTCCTCTTTGGCAGCCAAGGTTCGTACATTTTACGGTTATTTCTAGGGGTACCAGGTGGTGAGCGCTCACGGTTCAGCCCCTACGCAATTTCGAAACCCCCATCGTACCAGAATTATAGTCTCTAACATATTGTTGACGACGATCACTCTTGAGTTAGGTCTAGGTTAGGGAGTTGTATTTTCACGAATTTTTTGATGGAAATGTGTACCTTCGATCGAGTTGACCTATTTACCATGTATGAAGCACTTCTTGAACTCTTGAAAACAATTTTTTTTCAATTTTTTTGTCCGTTTATAACGGAGAAAATGGCGTCGTCCTGAACGAGTCTCTTTGCAGTCTTCGGTTAGACGAGCTATTTTCGTGAATTTTTTTATGGAAATGTGTACGTTCGATCGAGTTGACGTATTTACTATGTATGAAGCACTTCTTGAACTGTTGAAAACAATTTTTCTTCAATTTTTATGTCCATTTATAAGGGAGAAAATGGCGTCGTCCTGAACGAGTCTCTTTGCAGTCTTCGGTTACACGACTATTTTCGTGAATTTTTTTATGGAAATGTGTACGTTCGATCGAGTTGACGTATTTACTATATACGAAGCATTTGTTGAACTCTTGAAAAGAATTTTTTTTCAATTTTTATGCCCATTTATAACGGAGAAAATGGCGTTGTCCTGAATGATCTCTTTGCAGTCTTCGGTTAGACGAGCTATTTTCATGACTTTTTTGCTGGAAATGTGTAGGTTCCATCGAAGTGACTTGGTTGCCATATACGAAGCATTTGTTGAACTTTTGAAAACAATTTTTTTTCAATTTTTATGTCTATTTATAACGGAGAAAATGGCGTCGTCCTGAACTAGTCTCTTTGCAGTCTTCGGTTACACGACTATTTTCGCGAATTTTTTGCTGGAAATGTGTAGGTTCTATCGAAGTGGTCCGTTTACCATATATGAAGCATGTGTTGAACTTTTGAAAACAATTTTTTTTCAATTTTTATGTCCATTTATAACGGAGAAAATGGCGTCGTCCTGAACGAGTCTCTTTGGAGTCTTCAGTTCCACGAGCTATTTTCACGAATTTTTTGCTGGAAATGTGTAGATCCCATCGAAGTGAAATATTTACCATGTATGAAGCATTTCTTGAACTCTTGAAAACAATTTTTTTTTTAATTTTTATTTGCATTTATAACGGAGAAAATGGCGTCGTCCTGAACGAGTCTCTTTGCAGTCTTCGGTTAGACGAGCTATTTCCATGAATTTTTTGCTGGAAATGTCTAGGTTCGATCGAGTTGACCTATTTACCATGTATGAAGCATTTCTTGAACTCTTGAAAACAATTTTTTTTTTTTTCAATTTTTATGTCTATCTATGACTGAAATAATAACGTCATCTCGAACGAGTTTTCTTGCAGTCTCAGATTTCTTGAATCCTTCAGATTCATCCTACTAATCCTGTAACGAACATTTCATCCCAATTGAGGTTACACTTTGATGGGGCGTATTAATTACCGCGTATGCCCATTTTGGTAATGAATCTGAATATTACTGAGACCGGTTGCATTATTCATGCCGAACCGTTGGCATTGGTTCTCGATGTAAATGCGGGATGTACGAAACATAGATCGAGACTATAAAGCGTTAATTAGTCACTTCCTTAATCCCCAAACACATAAATATCAAAACTATAAATATTAATCATGAACACCATCCTTTTTGTTTCTAATGCTTCAACGTTAGTCAAGTTCCAATAAACAGATATCATCATAATTACATATTGAAACCGTCAGAGCCTCGAAAATGGCCGCTGACGGTAGTTAATTGAACGAAACTTTTACCGAAGCAGAAATAAAGAAGCCGTTCGTTTATTCGCGGTCCGTCGATCGCGACAAAGAAGTGGATCAAACTGTAAAGTCCCGACTGTCGTACGTGCACGTCTGTCGAAACGACGCGACTCTGTTGTAAACAAGTTTATGCTCGATGAAAAAGTTCCCTCGATAACAACTTCGAACGCGCCATTTTAGTATTCAGCGAACAACGCCGCGATGTTCGAACAGTGAAATTTGCTATATTCGACGGGGGAGTGAAATTGTAAAAGTGTTCATCGATCCTGTACTTATCGAGGGGACGAAAATAATACCAATTATTCGAGTACGGGTTTAGAAAAGGAAAGTCTAACTTAAAGTTGGTCAAATTAATTATTATATTAAGCTTATGTTAAGTTTTTCTGTTTCTATTAATTTTGTAAATAATTCTTGGACTGTTTCATACTGGTTTTGGTATCGATCTGACTTCAGATATGTTTTCCAGTCGCACTTCCGGTTACATGGTCTTAATCTACGCTCGTGCTATTCACACTGTTCGCGCCACTCGAGAGTACAGACACTATAGACGACTGGATACACAACTACAAAGCGTTTAATCGGTGTTAATTGACAATTCTAGTTCCTTCCACATCTTAACCACCGTTGTCCTTCATAATTTACCATTTGTATTCAATTTTCACCCGTTTAAACAATCGATCAAAACACAAAATATCAATCAATTTCTCTGTAATCAGTTGCACATAGTTTTTTAACGCGAATACTTAGCGATTTTCTAAAACTTTGCTGCGTAAAATAAAAGGTTCCCCTCTTCGGATTTACGTGGGATCGAGCTTTCCCTGCGCAGAGGAAACTGCTTACATATTTATAAACGGAGGAAATTTATATTCCCGACAACTTACTTTGAAAAATCAGGTTCACCTCGAAAACTTTTCGAATTTACATTTACTTTATGTTTCTTCGGTGCTGCGGATTCTTTCTCCCTTTGCCGGAAAAATGGTTGTTACGCGCGCCATTCGTCTTGCAAACAGTGTCTTATTTTAAAGATAACAAGCTAAGTACGTTTCGAATTGCTGTCACTTACAAAGCTTGCATTCCTTTTATGTATCGACAATTAAGACCTCTGGTTACAGCTAGCAGAAATTATTCTATATTTTATCATCCATTTTTAAATCCTCTATTTCCTACTTTCACCTGTCTCCTGTCCCTTACTCCAGTTATTCCCCTCCTTTCTACTCTTTTAACTGCTCCTCCTCACCCTCATCATCTCCTGTTCCCCTTCTTACAGCAGAAATTAAATTTTTGTCGCGTTAAAACGCAACACGCGAGACAATCCCGGTTAAATGATAAAAATTCTTAAAAATGACCAATTTTCCGACATTTAAAAAATTCTTGACCATTTTCCGAAACAATTGTTTTCAGATTACTGACCAAATTTTGCTGAACCCTTCGATTATGGTTGATTTTGACACGAGCGCAAGTCCTGTGCGGAAAACTTTTTCTCGCTTTGATTAACACGCGAATTGAACGCCCATGGGCGTTTCACGCACACGGTCGACCGATTGTAGTCTATAGGCGCCATTTGTAGTTAATAAGTCGTACATAAGCTGTTCCATGTGTTACAATTGTGTATCCCGACTGTTCCCCCAGGTGATAAGCATAGTCTCAGTCTTCTTCATCTGCATCTCGATCGTGTCGTTCTGCCTGAAGACGCATCCGGACATGCGAGTGCCGGTGATCGTGAACCGGACGGTGAACATAGGCAACATGACCTCGTGGGCAGTGGACAAAACGCACACGAACGCTCACGACTTCTTTTTCTACATCGAGTGCATGTGCAACGCCTGGTTTACCCTCGAGTTCCTGATACGTATCACCGCCAGCCCGAATCGCTGCGTGTTCATAAAGAGCTCGGTGAACCTGATCGACATGGTGGCGACGCTCAGCTTCTATCTCGATCTGGCGTTGCAGCGTTTCGCCTCCCATCTGGAGAACGCGGACATCCTCGAGTTTCTGAGCATCATACGCATCATGAGGCTGTTCAAGCTGACCCGTCACTCGTCCGGCCTGAAGATCCTTATACAGACGTTCCGCGCCTCGGCCAAGGAGCTCACGCTGCTGGTGTTCTTTCTGGTACTAGGGATCGTGATATTCGCCAGCCTGGTCTATTACGCCGAACGTACGCAGTACAATCCGAAGAACGACTTCAAGAGCATACCGTTGGGCCTGTGGTGGGCCCTGGTCACGATGACCACCGTCGGTTACGGGGACATGGTGCCGAAGACCTACGTCGGAATGTTCGTTGGCGCGCTCTGCGCTCTAGCCGGCGTATTAACGATCGCCCTGCCCGTGCCCGTGATCGTCAGCAACTTTGCGATGTATTACAGTCACACGCAGGCGCGAGCCAAGCTACCGAAGAAGAGACGCCGCGTACTTCCGGTCGAGCAGCCTAGAGTGAGGGCTTCGGGCGCTCCGCCAGGAATGGCCGGAGTACCAGGGACTACTGGCCCACCGGGTTGCGCCCCGCAGCACATGCCACCGGGTGGACCACTATCGGCTACCGGTGCTCTAGCTCCTGGCCTTGGACAGACGCCTGGAGTTGGCTGCCCTGGAGTTCAAGGGCCCCAAAACAGACGGATGAACGCCATCAAGACCAATCATCCCAAGGATGTTTCGTTCGCCACGAAAACAGGTAAGTTACCCCCTATATTACACCTTCTAATTTCGATTTAACTGATCGTGAATCGGTAGACTGCGGATCTTTATGCAAGTTCGTGTTAAAAATGTAAAATTTCCCACAAATGCGTAAACATCTGCTGTCTAATCACTGGCGACTACTTCGATCAGTTACTGTGAGTTCGCGAGAAGTATGTCACTGTACCATAGAGAGATGACTGATTTCAAATCATTCTCAAAAAATTATTCTTGGTTGCGAGGGTCTATTACAATCATTTTTGGTGAATATAATCCTACGCACTTTTGAGAAAAAAATTCAGTAGGTGCCTAAATTTTTCGGCAAAAAAAATATTTCGAATCGTTCTAAAAAAATTACTGACAGTTGCAGGGGTCGATTACAATCGTTTTTGGTGAATACACATACCCTTGAAATCCTACCCACTTTCTAGAAAAAAATTCGAGAAGATGCGAAATTTTTCGGCAAAAAAAAACATTTCAAATCGTTTTAGAAAAAATATTTTCAGTTGCAGAGGTCGATTACAATCGTTTTTGGTGAATACACATACCCTCGAAATCCTACGCACTTTCGAGAAAAAAATTCCTAATCGAAAATGTAATTTATGGGCAGCAATGTTGCCCGAAAATTTCATGCGAATCTTTAAAAAATCATAACTCCCGAACGGATTGGAGGATTTTAATAATTCAAAAGGCAAACGACGCGTATTTTGGTGAAGAATATGTAGAAATTCTAAAAATATTCGAAAAGTTGTTCCTTAACCCCGGTAAGGTGACAAAACCCCCATAAAAATGGTCCAATTTTCAAAAAGCCATAACTTCTACAACAGTGCATATATTTCAATGAAACTTTTTTCTGAAGTAGGGCTCATGGGTACCTATAAAAAAGTATTAGACAACTTTTCCGTAGAGCGGCGAACAAAATTACTAAAAATTAAAAACGAATTTCTAAGAAAAATCGACAGGGCATAGATGCCTTTTTTCGACGAAAAAAAAAACTTACAAATCGTTCTGGAAAAATTATTTTTGTAAGTGGAGGTCAATTACAATCATTTTTGGTGAATACACATACCCCTAAAATCCTACTCATTTTCGAGAAAAAAATTCTTTACTTATAATATAATATGTGGGCAAAAAGGTGCCTAAGCAACAAGTCTCTCTATGGTACTTTTTTAGGAACTTTTTTGGTGTCTTCCAGGTATTGTAGGACCTATGGTTGTGTGTAGAATGTTCTATACCGAAATATAATTCAAATTTGGTCTTTCATCGATGTATCCAGTTTTACATCGGTATAATGATGAAGATGAAGAATAGGAAAAGGAACATTCTTTCTCGAGGTTCCTTTAGAAATTTTAAGTTCTTTTCGACAATTTTTCTCATTGTCAGCATAATTTTGTACTTATTGCGAGCAGACGACATTCAGATCTCGTTCCATGTCGCTCTAAGAATATCGTGCAACCCCTGTGCGATCTCTCAGATGCTGGGACATTGTTCATCTTTACCTGATGGACTATTTCTTACAGAAGCCAGGAAACAATCCTGTGATACCAATTCTAGTACCAGATTTCGAATAGCATTGCAAACTTGGTAACTAAGGGGATGTGGAATATAGATGGACAAAAACATCGGTCCTCGAGCTTGCTAACTCCCCTATCGAAATAACACATCGATATAGTTAGCATAACATGAAAATCACACCAGTATCAAGCCCCATCAGATCAGAGTAAAAGTACCAATCATTTTTTATTGCTTTTAACACCTACACCATCACGTAACAGTCTACTAAAAACACGAGTCTCGTAAGATCGTACCTCTCCACACTTTCATCACTGTTGCCTCCTAAATGGACCCCCAGTTGTAGATAACATTTTCCCCCACAATCGTCCAGTTCGATAAAAATCCACCGTGATATAGCACTGTGGTCCAAAACAGAGGGACCATAAGTTTTCCTAGTTTTAATAAACACCCTCACCGGGGGTCCTCGACGCAAAGTGGCGGTCCCGGACGTTAGCGCCCTATCGCGAGAACGAGCCAGGATACACCAATTATCATTCACCGGAGGAACCTGGGCGGTGAAAAGGGGCGAAAAACCCTGACGCGAGCCAATTTAGTAGTAATTGTCGCCCGAGCGTAAAAGTCTCTAGTGTCTTTGTTTTTCCTTTTCTTCTTGTACGGTGGGTTCCAGAGGAGGACCGGAGGAACTCTAACCTACGGACTAACGGGACCAAGACAGCCGGAGGTTTGGGTTAAGCTGGAACCAAGGCTACTTCTCCACTGCCGAGGTGCACTCGACCCGGGGCGTTGGGATGACCGTGTCGCGAGAGGAAAATGGCGAGAGAAAACGTGGACGATGGGGGAAAAAGGATCGCCGGAGGAGCGGGGCTCAAGACGGGTATCAAGATTGCACGGTCTATAAGGGAATAGTAGATCGCTGCGGACGAAATGTCGGATTTTTACTGCGACGGATCGCGACGCGTGAATTATTCGAACCGTTCGTTCTCTTTCTTTTTACCAAGGGGAGCCGACTCGCCCTCGACTTTCACGCTTTTGAGTTGAGTTGAGTGAAGTTGACGATTGGATCTCGATTACGGGAATTTAAATTATATTTGACCTTCGACGAGTACAGTTTATATGTATTGTTAACGGGGGTGTGCAAACTCTGAAGATTTACGAGGTCACGGAGGGTCAATAAATTCTCGATCCACGCAGCGGAGTTGGGCATCGATCGCTGGAATTAATAGCGCACGATTTACGATTATCTCCACTCTGCAGTGGAATTTGCACGAAATATCGGGCAAAATTTTAATGGGAGATTCTGGACACCAAAATAAGACGAAAATCAAGAATATCAATTCTTTGTTTGAGGCTTCGTTAAAAAGTTATTAACGTTTAAAGTTAAAGTGTGCACACTGTCGCGTTCAAACGTTAATAACTTCTAAACGAAGCCTCAATTAACAAATTACTATTCTTGATTTTCGACTTATTTTTGACTCTACAACACTCTGTATATTCGTCCATCTACGTTCGGATAAAATGTTAAAAAATCTGCCACATAAAGCTCGCACTCTTTCGTTATTTTTTCCCACTTTTCAAACAGTTAAATTCAACGTCGAAACGTTTTGGGGTAATTTTTATTTAATACGTAGCTTTGTTTTTAACTTAAATGGAAAACGCGCGACGCGTGGTTGGCGATTAATTATTCGTTCGAAACGTGCTCGACGAGTCTCGTTGGATGATTGGAGGAAACCGGGCGTGAAATTCCGGGCGATCTCGCGGGACGAATTGGCGGTGAAAAATTTAAACGCAACGCGTCGACATCTTGGCGGGTCGGCCGCCCGATGGCGCTGGGGTCGCGCGATAAATCAGAAGCGGAATGGCGGCTCAGCGATTAATCGGCGGTTTTAATTAAAACGCGTCAGCCGCAGTTTTGCCAGCCTCTCGAGAAGCACGCGACAGCTGTGTCCGACATTTCGGATGCAACGATCGAGAACGATACACGGGTATTCCGCTTGGATACGTTCGAACCGTATCTATTTCTCTTTTTCGCGCCATTTGTTCCTTGCGATCGGGTCTTCTATCCAACCCTCCCGAATCCCCGATTTCTTTTCTTTCCCCGCCTCGTCGCTTCAACCCCAGCCGTTAACAACGCGAAATTGACTCTTTGCAAAACCAACAAAGATTTTAGCAAAGGTGAAAAACGATATTTTTGCAACATAGCGAAACGAGCGACCAATCACTGCTCGAGCGGACATTTTCCAGGCGCTGCAAAGAGTCGAGGGGGTAGTCTGGCCCCGGAACGTCGAGATCAACGATCCTTTTTTTATACCTCGAGCCTTTAGTTGACAAATGGGTCGTCGAACTTTGAAAAATTGAAGTTGCGCAACTTCCAGCTCTGCTTTACTGCTGGATAGTATTTTACGACGTCGATTATATCGATCGACTTGGTTATACGTAGTATGTGTATTGCAAATTAATCGGAATTCATTGCTACTTTACGAACTCGTCGTCGTGAAGTTTCCAGATGAACCAAAAACAGATATACAAAAAAAAAATAATTATATTTCTGTGCTCGAAAAATATATGAAATCCAAGTTTGGTTCGAAGACCACCGAAATGCAGGGTTGGGGAAAATTGGAAATAATTTTAAATAGTAAACATTGAAATATTTGCATAAGTAAATAGTAATTGAAAATACTGTTTCATTGGATGTTTAATCCCTGAGAAAATACTATTTACTACTCACTATGAAAAGCTAAAAGACAGAAACCTCTTTGCAATAACATCGTTCTAAACACTGTACAGTGAAATATTATTTTCTAAAGAATATTTAGATGCTATTTGCCCTGGTCGAAGCGATATATCGAGAATGAAGGATCGTCCACGCTTGTGTGTACGTTTTTCGTGAGTTAAGAACGTTGGAGTCTGCGTTCTGTGGATCAGACTACCCCCAAGGAGGAAAGATACGAGTGTCGGAGAGCGTAGGGGTCCGTTTGAACTGACGGGGGAATATTCATCGGCTGTCAGCTTGGAGGCACCGGTCGCGCGAAAGCCTCGTCTTCGTCAAAGCCAAATAATTTATGAACCGGAGAGCACAGCTTCGCTGCCAAAAATTCCTGAATGTTGCAAGGGCCGCGTAATGAGACTGGCGAATCTCGGTGAGCTTAAATATTTGCGTTCGGGACGTTGTAGGAATTTTTGTCAGAAGTTCGACGTCATACCGACGAGATCCCTCACGCCGCGTCCGGCGACCGCTTCGTTTTATAAACGGAATAAAAGATGCCTTTAATTTAGCCGGAATTGACGCTTTAATCGTTCGAGCCATCGGTCGGAACGAGATCCTGCCCCGAAAACCGCGAAACATTTCAAACATTTCGTAAATTACTTAAAAATTTACCGACAAACGTTGCTCAATCTTAAAATTAATTTTATTTCATTGAATATTAAATATTCTATGGAATTTGCCAAAAATCATCCATAAATATTCGTTTGCAATCGTTGCCTCTGACACTCTGTGCAATTTGAAAAAAGATAGCTCGATATAGTTAATTTAACAATAAACGCAAAGACTATATGAATATCGCGTTAAATATTCTATGATTCTTGGGACTTGCCAAGAATCATTCATGAATATTAAAACTCCGTGAAATTTAAAAAAAGATAGATATCGTTAATTTAACTATCGTCTCTGCAAAGCTTCGAACAATTAACTCCAACTTTGAGCAGAATTTTTACACGCTCGCGGGGAATATTTATTAATGGTTGTACGTTTCCCGAAACGTCGTTCCAACGAGTTGGGAGTGTAAAATCGCGGAAGAATATTGCAAGCAGGATCTCATTTCCGCTGCAGAAACGTGATAAATGTCGAACGACGCGAGGACGAGGGATCTTCGATGTACACGCACGCATGCACACGTATAACCCTCAAAGTTTAACACGCACATACGTCCACGTACGTGTAAATATTCGGATCGATCGTGATCCAAGTACGAACGATACAGGCAGCCCCGCACCACCTCGTTCCATCAATTTACTTTCCCGGCTGTTTTCTATTTGCGCGATCTTCCGCGCCATCTACCGAGCGGAACAGAAAGCTCGGAACTTTGGCGGCCATCTTAATCCGGCGTAACGTAGTTCGAGAAAAGAATGAAATCTTGGGTTCTTTTGGAATCTTAACACGTTGATTGTCAATTCTTACGATTTGTTTGCATCAAATTGCCAATCGAAAGCTGCAAATAGTTGTTTGTTCTGTTTAGTTTTGCAATGCAAACATAAATGATACTAGACACGTCTTCAGCAGTTTGAAAGCGTCAAATTATTTTGATATAAGTATGAAATGAAAATTTTCGATAATTTGGGAATGAAAGGAAGGGAGAATTTCTTAGATTCACTTGGAAAACGCGTTACGTAAAATGTTCGGAGGAGTCTGCGGGAATATTCTGGTCGAATCGAACTGAATTGGCCACTCAAGGCCACTTCCCCCAATTTAAATCTCGTCAGAAACGATTCCGACTTTTACGGTATCCAAGCTTCCCTCTTTGCTCGAAAGACACGTGAAGATTTCCTCGAGGAGATGAAAGATGGAGTGGCGGCGATGGCAAAACGATATGGCGGCGGTGGCGTGGCCAGTAGCCTCGAGAAATCAATTAATTATCATCCAAAATGGTAAAACTATCCAGTAATTAAATATCAAAACGTAATCTATGGGTTCCTTAATAAAAATAAATATTATAAACTTTTCTGCACACATTCTGTGGCCAAAGTTGTGAACACAAATATTAAAAAGCAGAAAAGTAAATAAAGTAAAATATTGGAGAAACATTCCATTCCACAAGAATTTATGTAAACTCAGGAAAAATTATAAACTTTTTTGCAAATATTCCGTGGCCAAAGACGTAATAAATTTTGCACATTTTAACGTGTACTACGGTCAGTAAATGTTTGTGTTTCCCGTATTGATTTACGCGTTCGCCGCGGGAAAGAAATAGTTTTCGTCGTTTAATTGGCGGCTCTTATCGAGGCAAATTGAGGCAAACTTTTAAACGCTTTTCGCTTGGAATACACGCGTTTCATGGCGTTCGAGGCAGGGGAAATCACTGCAGCGATAAATTCACCGAAGTCCCTGAAACGTTTGACAATCTATCGTGTTAACGAAACTTCTCACGTTCGAGTAATATTTTCGTACTTGCGATCGAGTAAATAGAAAGCAGCCTTTGCCGTTCAACCCTTAAGGAGCTTGGAGATTCTGAGTTGCGTCGATACGGCACCCACCATCTTCCTTCTGGAACCAATGATATCGTTTCACGAGTATCCTCTTAAAAATTTCACGAATACTTGCGACTCGAGACGCATTAGCATCCATTAAGCGAAATACAGTTTGCTTGTTTGAAGATTCACAATTTATCACGCTGTTTCAAACTTAACTGTTCGAAGGTTAACGAAACGAAGATAACAGAAATCGGTAATTCCTAGTCTTCGAGAACAAAATACTTCGTAATCGCGAGAACGGAAAATTGTAAAATTTATTTGATTCCGTCCGTCAGGTAGTTGATAAAAAAAATCATTCCAGCCGTCTGTTTTGCAAACTCGAAACGAGCAATATCCAAAGATACCACGGAGAATATACGGTGATTGGAAAATGGTCATTATTGGTGCAGCCATTATCGAACGTTCGATGAATGAATTTTCTATACTTTTTTAGTAAAACGAAAAAATTCTACGAACTCTACGGTACGATAATTTAACATAAGTACGTTTAAGCGTTATCGTTAAGTTTGTATATACTTAAAAGAAATTTTTCCAAAAACGTAGAGGCGAATCGTTTCTCAAATTTGTTAATTTTAAAATACGATAAGGCTCAACTTAAAATTTCCACGATGGCGCGAAGTATTCGATAAATAGGATACCCTGAATATTGAAAGAGATTCGAGACAGGTGATACAGGAGGTTCAAAAAAATTAAATGGTAGAATTTAGAGAGCAAAATAAGACGAAAATCAAGAATAGTAATTTGTTGATTGAGGCTTCGTTGAGAAGTTATTAGCGATTAAAGTTAAAATGTGCACACTATCGCGTTCAAACGTCAATAACTTCTGAACGAAGCCTCAATCAACAAATTACTATTCTTGATTTTTGTTTTATTTTGCTCTCTAGAATCTCCTATTAAAATTTTTCCCCGGAATCTCCCTGTTTATAAACGTTGGTACGGATTAATTAAGTAATATAAACGAAGAGCTTGAAATCGCGTATAGTTCGTCGGAATCCGTAAAATAAACATTGTAAACGCTACAGTACGACA